GAAAATTTGTTTTACAAAGACAAAAAAAAATTTCTAATTTTAGTTTTCATTTCCAAAATCGTTTTTGAGAAATGAAAAACGGAAAAAAAAACTTTCTTTTTTCTTTGTTTTCTTGAAAAAAAACAAAAAAATAAAAAGAAAAACAGAAAATTAATTTCTTTTGAAACCACATAAAAGCACACCAAATTCAAATCTTTAAAAAATTTAAAAGAATGTTTCTATTTTCGTTTTGTTTTTTCCCAAAATGCAAAGAATATCGACACACACACATAACGTACCTAACCTACATTCATGCACAAAACTTTTATATTTAGATTTTGGTTTCCGTTTTTTCTGAATAATGGACAAGTTGTACTGACCAAATATTGCTATAAACATGCAATTTTTTTCCTACCGGAAAATGAAACAAAATAAGGGTATACCAGTCGAAATACACTTGATTTTAAAGCTTCTTCAAGAAATTTTCTTATCAAATATATTTTAAAATATTGGTAAAATATTTATGAATATTGGTCGGAATAGAATTAAGAACTTATTCCGCGTAATACATTTTACTGCCTGATTTGAATAATTTTAAATTCAAGATTATTAAATTTTCATGTGAGTAGTAACTTTCTATGGATTTTACTATAAATTCTAATCCTAGTCCGCTAAATTTTAAAATTTTCACCAAGTCAACTACGTTTATTAAATGCTATAGCAGATGCTTTATAAAAAATTAAATTAAGGTGCGAATATCTTTATTTATTACAGTGAATTTCCACCGCTCTAAGCTACAAAAATTTATTATGGCTACTAAGTGGAGCTACTCAAGAAAATACACTTAAAGACTCATTCATGATAATGACTCTGAAAAGAAAACTAACCACAATAATCAATAATAAGGGGCCAAAACTGTGAAATAAGGAAAACATTTTTCATAAATTCATTCTGAATTTTATATACTCTTTAATCTTCAAGACAACCTCTTTTCAGAAATTGTCTTTATCCCTATGCAACCAGAATATCAGTAATGTCAACATAATCATGATAATTCAATGTAAATTTTATAATTAGTTTCAATTTATTTTTGGTCATTTCATACGATACAACTTGTTCTAATGTGTATAGTGAATGATATACCACAAGATACACGCATATACATATACCATATGTATGTGCACGTATAAATTCTTCATAAAAATCAAAGAAAATCCTTGAAAAATAAATTGAAAAATTTTTTTCCCCCAAATTACACAACCTTGAAAAGAGTAAAGATATACATACATCTAAACATATTTCTATATAACATCACTTAACACATCGCTTACATACATACATTATACATATGCATGTGGATGTTTGTAATATTTATGATTATGAATGCCAAGTATTATTGAAATATTAAATGAATTGTAAAACTTGCCAGTATAGTGTTTTCGTCGTATACCAAAAATAACTGAGGTGTGATTTAAAGTTTGTTTTAACACGAAAATTATTTATTAAAAGTATGTACCCAAAAATATAAATAAAATATGGAAAATTTTTCTTTAACAGTGAAAATTACAATATATTAACCGAAAAACTGGAAAATTGAAATTTAAATTTTTATAAAATTCCAAGGACGAAATTTTGATGTTAATAATAAATTTTAATTAATAAATAATAAAAAAAATGAATTAGAAATTAAGAAAAGGTAGGAGAACAGTACGGTTCATTGAGAAAATTTCTGAAATTTCTTTCAGCTTTTCCCCCTTTCTTTTTTATTTGTTATTCTATAAATAAATACGAAGAGTTTTCCTTCTTTTATCCTTATCTTTAATAAAAAATTAATAAATACTTTGAAAATAGCTTTGCTTTCATAATTTGTATATCCTAAATTTTGCAAATTGTACAAAATTTTCCTAATAAAAACTTTAATGAACAATTCATTGTGAATTTTTAGTTTAAAATTTGCCATTTCTTTAAATTTTAAGCAAACAATTTAGAATTCCAATCACTGGAAAATGTTAAATTTTTCAACATTAATTACGAACAATATTAGTTGGGATTTTCTTATTTGGTTCAATTCTCCAATACCATTTAAAATTTGAATTTAGCCGCAATAATCTGGATACATGAAATTGATTTGCAAAAATTCTATTTGAAACTTTATTGTAAATATTTTATACAAATATAAAATAAATTTCACAGAGGTCACGGATTCTTGGGTCACTTTATATTCAATTCACAGGCAATCAAATTTTTCTTAGAATATTTTTTATCAAAAGTTTTTTTTTTTTTGTAATTAAAAATTTATTGAATTTTGTAATTAAATTAGATGAAAAATTTTAAGGAATTTACGTTTCCAGCCTATATATGAATCAATAACATTCAATAAGTAATAATTGTGCTAGGCTAGTACTAGAACTAAGGTATTAATCCAGAGAGGGATGAATTTATAAAATCCTTTTGAAAATTTCCATATAGATTTAGAAATAATTTCAAGGTATTTGAATTTGAACACATATTTTTAAACAAAATAACTTTATGATGAGAATTTGTATATAGCTATGTCAAAATATCAACTTTTCAAATAAAATTAGTGCTGGAGGGTTTTAATAATTGAGTACACTCCTTCATAAGAAATGAAAGAGAATGGGAAATTTCTTTTCACAAGAAAAAAAAGTAAGGTAAAATACAAATTGAAGAATACAATACTCTCATTGCTGTCTGAGACTACTATGATACTATACTGAGATTGTCTGAGATTTAATTATGATACTCTATTATAAAGTGAAAAATTAGAGTTTTTAAATTAGAGTCCTTTTAGTCAGAATATTGTAATTATGATTAATTCAGATTAACTTTTTTAAAAAAAATTTTGAAAAATAGTGTTTATTAGTTTCACTCTGTATGGCCGTACGTCTGTAAGCTTTTCTAAATTTCTATAAACGCAAAATGCTAACGGTGAACGCAATTTCGTTAAAAAATATAATCAATTTTTTTAACTCATACAATTAACCCTTAAATTCGAGCGCTTTATGTTACGTTACCCCTCTTTCAACTATTTTTCGTTTTAGTTCAAAAATTGCATACATTTTTCATCCTAAATGAATGCGATCTTTAAATTATATTCGAATATGAATGAAAGTAATTTTAATAAGCTAGATTATTTTCAAAAGCAGTATTTTAACTTGTTGAAAGGAAAAGTATGCTGTTTACAAAAGTATACATTGCAAGCCATTGGTTTGACCCAAATATACTTTTATTATTTGTGTAAAGTCTTAATGTTTTAATGTTAATGTTAATGTTTCTTATCAATGAAATACCTTATTATAAATTTATTTTTCACAAAATTTCTTAATATTTAAACTATAGATTTATATAATTATGATCCCCATATATTTACAAAATTAATCAACCAAAATGTGATTAAATAAAATATATTATTTAAATAATTTTAAACACCGCAAAATATACTTGCATAAGTGATAATATTTTATTGATTCGCAACAACAAATTCAAATATATTGATGAACGTTTGAATTATTAAGAAATATTTTAATGGTAATTATGGTAATGAAAGGATATGATTTTCCAAATTAAATCGAATTGAAGATTTTGGAGGAATTAGAACATTTAAATTATATTACATTTATGTACGTTAATTATCCCACCACGAAAATTCTAAGTAAACACCCACTACAACATAAGTTTTAATGCGGAATTACGTTGAATATTAACATTTCAGTGAATTTGTGGTTCAATAAACAAGACCAAGGTATGTAAGTGTGAATAAGGGTAAAATACGCTATTTATGCAATCTAACCTTTTAATTAATCTCAGAAAATAAAATATTGATTGAATTAACGGCAAAAAAATTTGTGGTAGATTTGTGTTTTATTTTGCAATTCTCAATTTTCAAAAACACAATTTTATATTCGTCTCAAAGTTGTAATAAAAAGATAATTGTAAAAGTGAATTATTTAAAGCAAAAACTTTAAAATTTTCTCAGGGCCTAAAAGCTTGGACGACCAATGTTTTAAAAAATTACTACCGAACAAAAATTGTAGGAACCTTTTCAACTAACATTTGGTAAATTTTTTTAAAGCCCTTACCGCAACCGTACAAAAAATTATACTTATATCTGTGCCAAATTTCAAGTTTCTAGATTTCTGTGTTCTCAAATAAATTGTTCAGCAACAGATGTTTAACTAGTTTGACTTGAATTGGAATTCGATTCTCTGTCTGATGTACATAATAGACGAACATAAAAGTAGGCAACTGGACTTTAAGCCTTTTTATCTAGTTTATCAGATGAGTTTTATCACATGCATTAGCCTAATGCATAATTTATTTACTTCAAGAGTACTATAAAGGTGAAAAGGCTCAAAAAATTTTTTCACAAAATTATTGTATAGCATAAAACTCACCACAATATATAATCTACTAATTAAATAATACCAGATTCGCATCTTAGAAATACCAAACCATCTCTGCTCATTTACACACAATATACCTATATTGGAAGCCGCCGTACAGGAAAAAGGATAAGCCACTACCCATCATCGTATGAAACGTAGTGACAGTATAAAATTTAAGCAAATCACCTTTAATTTCCATAAAAGCTTATCATTTCAATTGATTACAAAAAATTCCTACATGATGTTCCTACATTTTGCCAATATTCTTCACTATAACTTACAAACTTTCCCATATCGATTTCAATAATTTTCTTATTGAATTTGAATTTTCTTATTGAAAAATTCTTTCGATAAATTTTTTAATATAAGCTATGCAAATAATTAAATCACAATATCTAAATAGAGCAAAATTGGTGTTACATAACATTAAAGGCTATTTTCTTATTATACATACTTAAATTCCTCAAAAATCTAATACAAACTTATAACCAACTCTCAATTCCCACATCTATTGTGAAATTTTTTTGATTATGTTCGAAATTGATGTCGAAATCATACATTCATAATATTTTCTTTTTAAATAATTATTTTAAAAATTTACAAAATTTTACTTACATTTTTCCATTTTCCTTCTGGAACAGCGACAGAAATTAAATGAAGAGTTAAAGAAATCCAAAAAAAAAACAAAAAGGATAATTTATGACTTTAAATAAGCTTTCATTTAAAATTCAAATATATTTCATAAAAATTTATTCTTAACCATAATTATCCTTTTCTCTTTTTTTCTTTTTCTTCTTCTTCTTTTCGGCTTATCTTTATTCAAACCCGATAAGGATATAAAATAAATTTTGCCATAAAATTACAAAAACAAAAATTCATTTTGTTCGGTTGTTTTTTTTTATTTTTTTTTTTTCAACTACAAAATCACTTTAATAAGGAAAAATGTGATTATAAGGAATGAATAAATAAATGGAGATTTTTTTCTATATTAAATTTTTTTTCTGAATTTTCTCTCAGTAATACTTTTTCTTTTTTGTTGTTTTGTCTTCCTTTTTTTCCTGTTTTTCTTATTTTTTTTTTAAAGATAGAAAATTCAATTTTCTTTTAAATCTACTTATTCAAAGCTTTATATTCAAAGTTTAAAATAAAAGAAAATAAGAAGGAAAAATTTTAATTTTATTTAAAAATTTTTTCTGTGTGTTTTGTTGCTGTTGTTGATTTTTTCTTGTTTTTGTAAACAAAAATAAAAGTTTCTGAATAAATAATTAAAGGAACATCGAAAAAAATGAAAATAATAAAGAAAAACAAAAAAACATGGAAGAGAGTAACAAAAGATTCTGGAAATGAAAAATTTCTTTTTACTTTTGTAAAAAATTTTTCATTTTTTTTTTGAATTTTTTAAATTACATTTTTGGAAGCAAAAGAAGAAAATTTTTGTATGAATATTTCTACTATATTTCAAATTTCATAAAACCTACAAAGTAGAGCAAAATATGAACTTTTGTAATTTTTGGACAAAAAAAGCATAATTGACCCTTTCTGTTTTCTACTACACTGGTTTTCTATTACATATTTTTTTCCTCAATTTTCCTCTCTCTCTCTCTCTCTATACAAAAACTTTATTTAATTAAAATTTTATTCCATAAATTAATTAATTTAATTTTTATATGAAATATAGCACTTTTACATTATATACCAAATTTATATTTTTTTTGGAAACAAACAAAAGCGGGAATTAATTAAAATCTAAAAAGTTTTAATTTAGAGTTTCTGTAGCTAGAACTTTCCATATATTAATTAAAATTTTTTAAAAATTTTTCAAAGTAAATATTTTTAGTACTCCAAGAAATGTGCAATATAATTTTAAAAAAAAAAATTTTTTCTCATTACATCTCAATTTTATTTATTTGTTATTATTATATTTCATACTTATTATTTTTTTTTTTAATTTTTAGAATTAAAATTAAATTTTAAATTAAATGTTTTCGCGTCCCGAACAAACATCGTTTTGATATTTAATAACAAGTGTTACCTTGATTTTATATCGTTTCTTATTTAATAAATTTTTTTTTGTAAAACAATTCGCTATAAAGTCCTTCTTTTTAGAACGGAATTATAATTCATACTGATAGGAAATTTTAACAATTTATTTTTTTATATGTATGAAAAATTATACATTAAAACGGTAAGCCGTTTTATTTTATTTTTTTTTAAAAATAAGAAAGAGAGTAAATTACCCAAACAAAGGAAAAAAAAATAAAGTTGTAGAGTGGTATAAAAAGTAATAGAAAATTTCCCTTAAAACTAGATATGGTGTTATATTTCCCTTACATTTTCTTATATTATAATTAATATAGAATATAAAAATAGAAATTAATAGAGAATAATGAATACTCAAATTTCATATACGTATATTAATTATAATAATATATCTTTATACATGCATGTATGATGCATGATTGTATACGGTACATAATTTTTTATCTATAATATTAGATTTATTTTAATTATATACTTATTTATATTCAATATCGTACTATTTTTTGCAGGTAAATCTATTATATCAACAACTTTTCCAATTGTACATACGTACATTCATACATATATCATGAATTTTCGTTGTTGTTACCTTCAATTTTGATAAAGGAAATTTTATTTTCTTTTTTTTTATTTAATTAATTTTTTAAACACCTGATAGAGTAAAAGAAAATTTCCCAGTTTTATTTTAAATATACAAAAAAAAACAAAAAAAAATTGTAACATTTTCATCCACAACCCTTTTATACAAAATCTTAATTTTCGAAAATAATTTCGAAAAAAAAAAATTACCCATTACATTTTACCATCTCAAATTCAAATTTCCGGCTATTTGCTATCGGAATTCGAAATGTTTTCTTGCATTGGGCATGCGTCAACAATAATCAACAATATTTTGAAAATTTAAATACTATAAAATAATCATATTTAAAATTTCCCTTTTTGAAATAATATTGTTGACAAATTGAGTTGAAAACTGGAGATTTTAAATAATATTATGAAAATTGAGAATTGAGATTGTAGGAAATAATTATAAATAATTTTTTTGTTTTTATTTTTTTTTACAAATAAAGGTGTTAAGGGAAATTTTTAAAATTTGAATTTATTATTTTGATAAATCAAATCTTGTTTATTCTTTAAATGTTTTATTAAATTTTTTTGTTATTGCTCTTAATGGCAATAATGTCTTTTTTTCCGATTTCAGTATAACTTATAACTTTAATAGTATTAAATTAGAGTATTAAATTAGAAATGCGGTTCATTAGTTTATTATTGTTAATCAATAAAATTGCATTTCAAAATTTCCTTTCATTCTTGGAGATAGAAATTAAAAATAAATCCATGTTATGTTGAGAATTCAGGCTAGAAAATAGCACAATAAAGCATATCACTTATATCATAAATAATTCGGAATAATTAATAGACACTGTTATAAGTCTGCACTACAAAAGGATAATAAGCAAATGCGATTTGAGTTTTATTGTTTTTGTGAAAAAAATATTATTTTTATTTATAATTCACATTTCACTTATAATACACTTTATCTTTTAATTGTTTTAATTTTTTGTTCCGCTTTTGTTTTTTTGGCGAAATTTTCCATTCTCAAAAATTTGCATTGCGATTCCTTTTTCAAGTAGATTTTTCAACAGAAAATTTATTCAAAAGTGACCCTAAATTAAATTTTTGAATATTATATTGTGTGGTATTATATGTAGACATTGAATATTTTCAATATAATTAAACGTATAACACAAATATATAACCGATATACAAAAATATAACAGATAATAACACAATATATTTGAATGTAAATAGAAAATTTAAAGTTAGTTGTATATGAAACTATTATCCTTTTTTTCTTTCGTTTTTTTTTTGTTTTCTTTCACTTCTCCTGTTATCTTATTTTATGGTTATCTTATTTTGTTTATCTTCATGTTGATGAATATAAAATGTATTTAAATAGTAACAAAGAATTCAATCGTGTTTTATATACATGGTGAACAGTTATTAAACACATATAGATAGGTAACATTACATTATATACGAAATATACGTACAAACAAGATAGAAATGCTAATACTTTTGAATATATTATAGACGTCACATTTATATATACATATACAGTGACGATGTGTCGAAAAATAGTGTTTCTATATATTTTCATTATTATTATTATTTTTATTATATATATGTAGGTACATATATAAAATTTATAAGGTTTATTCCGATTTGAAGAAGGTAAATGGAAATGAAAATTTCAAAATTCACTCTTGTGTATGCATAGTTGATGAGCCTTTTTTGCGGGTATTAAAAACTTCTGAATAATTCATTAAATTTTCACACATGGACCATTTTTCTTTTCAATACTTTTAGTTTTTGTTATTTCTATTTTTTGTTTTTTTTTTTTTTTTTATATTTCGTATCTATCGTTTATATCACAAATATAAACCTATACACTCACTTATAAATAGATAGATGTATGATGAACGATAAAGCTTTTTAGGCGTTTAAAATGTATTATCCTTGTTATGGATAAATCTATATAGGGGCTTGTTTATATGCACATTCGTTACACAAATATAAACTCATATACATATATACATCATACAAACATGCATATACACATATATAAACGGAGATATATACGAACTTTTTCATTTCTAATTCTTTTCCAATTTTATTTGTTTTTAGTTTTTCTTGTTTTTCTTCATTTTTTTTTTATTTTTATTTTCTCAATAGGTCTTATGGTTTAGCGTTTTTGTATATTTTTAGTTTCTTTGTTTCTTTTACTTATTGGTATTTTGGTTGAATATTTTTTGTTTTTATTTTATTTTTGTTTTGTTATTTTGCGGTTTTTGTAATATGAATGCTGCTGCTGTACAAAAAAGTTGAAGGACTTCATAAAGAAAGGATTTTTTTTTCCTATGTTGTGTGGGATGGAAAATATTTTTATTTATATTCGAATACCTATGTAAAATGTACTATAATTTTATTCATATTATGCATATATATGTACTCGTATATGATGATCAAAATCGGATAATACCAAATCAGACACAAAAAAAAAAACAAACATTAAAAATGAAATTTGATTTTTATTTTGAAGAAGAGAAAAAAAAGAGATGATATGTCATTTTCTTTCCTCATTTCAGATTCTGTTTATTTTATTGATAAGCTGATATCATTAATTAAAACTATTGTAAAGGGATTTAATACCAAAACAAAATAGGGGAAAACTAGTTTTATATATGCGAATTTTTAATAGTTTATCATCAATTCCATTGTACCTAAATATATTCTGTATAACATGAAATTTGACATGGAATAATTGGAATTAAATTGTTATTTATCAGGATTATATACAAGGTAATCTAAATCTTTGTTTTTCTTTCGGAAAATCAAATTTTACTTATGATTATTACAAAACATTAACTCTTTTAGTTCTGATGCTTAAAAGCATCCAAATATAAAACCTAACAGAAAATTTATACTTTAAGTGATTCAAAACGATTTTTCATTACAACTAGCTGTTAAGTGACGGGAATTTTTAAACAATGATAAAAAAAAAAATATTTCATGTCCTACTACATTAGTGCTCAGCTAATTTTTTTTTTTTAAATTTGATGAGAAAAATTATTTGTGCAGGTGCTAACGTCTCATTTATAATATCTATTGCAATGTTAACCACGTCAACGAAAACATCTAAATATGTTTAAATATTTTTCACAATAGAATGTCTTTTAACTTCCTTGGTGGTTCTGCAAATAAAATATGATTGCACTCTGCAGATGCACAAGTAAATTAAATTATTAATCGAATTTTAAAATTTTTACTTAATTTCCAAGAAATTTCTTCGAATACCAAAAAATATTTCCGCATATAACCTTTAATTATCTCAATCATTTTGTCTTTAATAATGCCGAAAATTATTAAATAATATTATTTTTCCTTCTTTCTTGAAATTTATTTGGAATTCATTTTGTTTTTACATCAAAACAAAATCGTCTTCTTGTCAAACTTTGCTTTCGAACCCTCTCATTAATGGTCTCCTCTATTTAACCCCTTCTTTATGGTATTAAAATCTCCTTATAAATCTCAAGCTTATGCGATTATTGCATTTCCCGGCCTTTGAAGCGTGCGTGTTTCTTTATATGGATGGCTTCAT